ATTATCTAGTATTGGGGCTGGAGACATGGTCTACAGTTAAAAGCACTGGCTACTCTTACCGAGGGCCCAGATTTGATTTCCAGCACCCACATGTTTATCTTTCTTAGTAACTTACACTGGTATTTATTTAATAGCCTTCAAACCTTGACAGTTTTTCTGTGTCTCCATGTCTGTCTCCAACACTGTAAACTAGTCTCTTATTCTGGGGTCTTTTATTTTTTGGCTTAATCCTGCCTGCTAAAATAAAACCATCTGCTCAGGTGCCCTGAAACATGTCTGTTTCATATTGTCGTTTCCTGAGCCACCTGGCCCCTCAGTGCCTCCCCCACTCCAGGACAGTCTGAATAAGACCATACAGTTGTCCTCTAATTCCAGTTGTCCTTGGATTTCAGTTACCACAGCAGATCCCTCGAGCTGCCTAAAAGCACTGTGCCCATCCTTCGTGAGCCAGAATGTGTGGGAAATTATTCATGAGAAAATGGCTTTTCGCAGGTGCTCTTCCTGATGACTTCATCGACAGTTTGGAAAAAGCAGGTGACGACAAGTACAAAGTCACCCTAAAGTATCCCCACTATTTTCCTGTCATGAAGAAGTGTTGTGTCCCTGAAACAAGAAGGAAGATGGAAATGGCTTTTCACACGCGGTGCAGACAGGTACCATAAATGTCTTTATTTTGATCCTAATTGAAGATATTAAGGAAAAGATGTACTTCGTTTACCAATATCAAAGTCAGCTCATCTACTGATACCCCTGTTTGCATGAGCTTGCCTTTACTAATTCCACATACCTGTAAGACTTTTAGCCTTTTCATGTCTTCATTGTCAGTTTGCTTGGTGTGCCACAAGCTGGAGTGTTGTGGTAAAAACAGAGCAGATAAAAACAAACACGGAGTTGTGCTCATTTTCTGCATATGCTGTCCTCAGCAAGTAACTACACCACAAAGAGGATTCCAAAGTCCACATTTGGGATACATAGTGAATTCTAGACCTGCCAGGGCCACGTAGTAAGACCTCATCTCAAAAAGAAGCAAAAAAAAAAAAAAATGTATTTGTGTGGTGTGGTATCCCTAAGTATACAGATACCAAATAGGAACTATGTTGAGAAAAGTCTATAAAAACAGTTTTAAATATAAAATACCATGGTATGTCAATTTATTTAAACAAAATACTATAGGCTGGATAACTCAGAAACAAAAGAGATTTATTTTTCATGATTTTGGAGACAGGAAATCCAAGATGCTGTGTACTCACAGGGAAGAAGGAAAGACCCTTTTTTAATCATGAGCACAAGGCAAAAAACCTAAGCTGGTTTCTTCTTGCTCTCCTGTGAACCTCTGATCAGTTCGTGAGGTTAGTACAGAAAGATCCCATCTCTTAGGACCGAGGCAAACAAATTAGTTTTCAGCATATTTTAGAGGAACCTTCAGATAGCAGCACGTGGAATTAAGTGTGTGTACCTTGTTCTGGAACCATCACAACACCATCCACAGGACATTTTCACACTCTGGAACTGGAACTGCATTCATAATAAACTAACTCCCCATCCCCTGTCCTTTCCATGTCTGTAAGCTTGATGGCTGCAGGAAACTCACGTGTCTCATGACTCGCACTTACTTAGCATCACATCATAAAGGTTTACCATGTCGAAGCATGTCAGAATGCCCTCCTTTTTAAGGGTGAATTACATGTTAATGTATGGATATACCACATTTTCTTGACCCCTTGTTCTGTCACAAGGCACTTAAGTTGTTTCCCTGGTTTTACTATTGAGTAATGCTGTTTTGAACACAGGTATCTGTAGATATCTAGTGTGTGTCTGTGAACACGGGTTATCTGTAGATATCTAGTGTGTGTCCGTGAACACAGGTTATCTGTAGATATCTAGTGTGTGTCCGTGAACACAGGTTATCTGTAGATATCTATTGTGTGTCCATGAACACGGGTATCTGTAGATATCTAGTATGTATCTGCTCTCAGTTTTTTAAATATTTGCCCAGAGTAGAGTTGAGATTATGATAGTTCTGTAGGAGTTTTATTTTTGGTTTGGGGGGACTTGTGTAGTTTTGGGGTGTTTTGTTTGGTTTTGTTGAGACTGCCTGTCACATAGCCCCTGACTGGCCGAAACTCTGTACGTAGCCAGTGAGAATCTTGAATTCCTGAGCTTCCAGCCTCCACCTCCCATGGCTGCCATTACGGGCATGTGCCACCATGTCTGGTTCATGTGGTCCTGGGGGTCAAAGCCCTTAGGCAACACTCTGGCCATTTTCCTCTATCCCCAGCCCACCTGTGTGTATTTTTTATAGAGCCACTAAACTGCTTTACATTCTTGTCAGCAGTACACAAGGGTACCAGTTCCTCTCCATCTTTATCAGGACATTATTTTCCATGTGTGGATACAGAATAGCAAAACAAATTGGTGTGAAGTGAAAATGGTGAGTTTTATGCTGTGTATAATTTTCCACAAACACATCAGAAAGTTGTAATGAGTATTCGGTACACTTGTATAATTGAAGAAAATAAGTAAGAAATCACAATAGTGCATAAAGCATATTTTTACCCTGAGTTTACAGCATCTCAGAGTTTATGAAGAATGTACAGTTCTCTCCGAAGTATAAATTTTATAAATTATTTCAGGAATGACATACCACATTTTGAAATTATCCTAATGCTGAAATGGAAGCCATAGTTGAGGGTCTGAAGCGATCTCACCATCTCCCAGCCTCACTAGTGTGTGCCTCTTCTAGTGCTGTGCATGCAGTCGATGGGCTTCTGCTTTTGTTGTCCTTGTTCCTAGGAAAACACTGCAATTCTGCAGCAGCTCCTCCCGTTGCGAGCACAAGTGGCCAGACTTCTCGGCTACAACACCCATGCTGACTTTGTCCTTGAACTGAACACTGCAAAGAGCACGAGCCATGTGGCAGCCTTTCTAGGTCAGTCCTCTATTTACTTAGGGTCAGTTGTATGGTGTTTTTGCTCTGTGGCATCTACTGTATAATATCCCTTAACGGCGACCTCAGCTAGGCACCGCAGCTGCCTTCGAGACCATGCTGGTTTCAGGAGAAGGGTATTTATCTGCTCTTACCTTAGATGAACTCACAGTTCTTGAGGCTGCTGGGGTTGTCTGTCTCATATCTTGTTGGTAGTGACTCTTTGTTTTACACGTAGTGGGTGTGGACAACCAGACTGTTAGCTCATGGTCTTTATTCACTGCCAGGTCTGTGAAACTGTACTATAGCTACTGATAGGTGTATGAAATAAACCAAAGCTATGGATAAAATAAAACAGCATACATAAGCAAAAACTGGCCCCTACCCACCAAAGCCCACTTTCTAATATATAGAGGTACTATAGAGTTCATCAAAACTGGCACCTACCCACCAAAGCCCACTTTCTAATATATAGAGGTACTATTGAGTTCATCAAAACTGGCACCTAATTACTGTTGTCACTTTCATTTTAAGTCTTTTTTTCTTACATTTTTTTTTTAAAGTAAGGTTACCTAGATCTGGTGGCACAGCCTTTAATCCCAGCAGGCAGAAAGATCTCTGAGTTCAAGGTCAGCTTGGTCTACATCATAAGTTCTAGGCTAGCCTCAGCTACATAGTGAGACCCTGTCTCAAAGAAGAAATAGTAACAACTAAGGTTTCTGGTCCAGGGAGATGGCTCAGTGAGTACAATACCTACTACATAAGAATGGGGACTAGAACAGAATCCCTCCAACCAATGTAAAAGCCAGGCCAACATGGTGGCCACCTATAATCCCCACATTCATTAGGCAGAGGCAGGGCATCTGTAGGGCAAGCAGGCTAGGTTCAGTTGAGAGACCCTGCTTCAATAAAGGGTAGACTCAACTCTGGGCTTCCACACACACGCCCACATTTGGGCACATATGCGTGCATAGAATGCACTAATGTGTGTCTCTACCTGCTGAGTACTAGAATTAAAAGCATATGCTACCACAGCTAGCAAACTTTAAGATGCTATTAAAATTACTTTATTCTTCATGAAAATGTCAAAAGTATTTCCCTCTGATAGTCTTGTATTAATGTTATTAAGTCGGAAATGATTAATAAGAAATGAAAACTGGGCATGGTGGTAAACACCTTTAATTCAAGTAGTCAGGAGGCTGAGGCAGGAGGATACTATGAATTTGAGGCCAACTTGAGTTATGTGACAAGTGGGCAGTCAGAGAGCTATGAAGGGAGACCCTGTCTCAATAAACTAAAGAATAAAAATAGAATGATAAAAATGGGTTAAGAAATTGTGTTTTAGCCCAAAATTTACTCTGTTAGTTTTCCTCAGTAGTCATTTCATGGTTTACTTGTATATATGCTGGAATCATAACCTATAAACAGGTGCCCCATCAGTGATATCCTATAATTCGTTTGTGCATTTCTGAGACACTAGGAATAACTACCTTGGGTTAGAAGTAGAAGACCTCATGCTAAAGGTAGAAACACAGACAGGATAAGATGAGGTCCTTTCCCCAGAGTCTCCACTTGGGGGAAGGACAGAGATATGAGCGGGTTGCTGCTGGGAGATGTGTTGTCCAGGAGGATGGCTCAGCTCCTCTCTTCACACCATTCTTGGGCAGCTGCCACCATCCCACACCCTTGGGTCTCCTCTAATCCATGTCTAATACAGACCTAAGCACGACTTTATCTTTACATAGTTAACAAACTGTGAAAAGAAGTATAGAACAGCTTATTCAGTCACTTTTAAATCAGATGATCAGAATTTGAATTCAGTATTAAATTGTGATGACCAGCAGTTTCTTCAGCTGAAATCTAGAGCTGCTACCTCCAGATCCTCCTCCTCCATAAATCCCAGACTGAGCTTGGGGAAGCCAGGCCAAACCACTGTCAAATGTGCAGAGCGGCTTCTAGATGATGTTGCTGCAGTTCCTAGGAGTTGTTTTAGGGCATAGCTTGCTGAGGAATAGGCACACACACAGACTTGGTTTACCATTGCTTTTAGCTGAACTGTAAATTCTTGGGTCAGGTGCTCGCTTCAGCAGCACAGATAGTAAAATTGGAATGATACAAAGATTAGTGTGTCTCCTGTGCAAGGATGACACACAGATTTGTGAAGGTTACAATAAAATTAATTAATTAACTAATTAATTAAAAATATTCCTGCATCAGCGTTCTTAAGGTAAGCTTTGCCATTGTTGACGCTGGAAGAAAACCATGAGTGGGTTTTGGTTGTGTGACAGACAAGGGGGAAAGAGTCACCATCAAGATCACCTGGGAGAGAGTGCTCTGCCCCAGCCAGTCTCTTTCCTCCTCATGCTGTTTCCTCTGACTGACCATGCACAAAACTGACAGTCCTTGTCAACACACTTGCTTCCAAGTACGCATCACTAACTCTGCTGTTTCCCTCATAGATGATTTAAGCCAGAAATTAAAACCCTTGGGTGAGGCAGAACGGGAGTTCATTCTGAACTTGAAGAAAAAGGAATGTGAGGAGCGAGGTTTTGAATTCGATGGCAAGATTAATGCATGGGATCTCCATTACTACATGACACAGACAGAGGAACTCCGGTACTCAGTGGACCAGGAGTTCCTCAAGGAGTACTTCCCCATCGAGGTGGTCACAGAAGGCTTGCTGAGCATCTACCAGGAGCTGTTGGGACTTTCGTTTGAGCAAGTGACAGATGCTCACGTTTGGAATAAGAGCGTTTCACTTTACACTGTGAAGGATAAAGCTACCGGAGAAGTGCTGGGACAGTTCTACCTGGACCTTTATCCAAGGTACTAACTGACTGTTAGACATGACCCGCCTCTGCCCTCGCATAGTCTCTGTATGTGCTGCTTAGTCCAGAATGTCTGCCTTCATCCCTTACTAGACGCGTTATTCAGTTTCTCTATGCTGTTTCCTGAAAGATGGGACTACTTGTAGCACCAGTTTAGTGAACTATTGTAAAGATCGAAGTAGATGATTACATTCCTAGCATTTGGAAGAAGACTACACAGCATATAGAGGAGTTCTTTTAAAAAACAAAGGAAAACAAATTAATGTGTGTGGTGCGCATGCACACACGAATGTGCCAGGCCAGAGAGGATATCTGAACCACCACCCCCCCTAGCCCAGATAATATGTTTTTTAAAGGCGTTAACTACCACCACCGTCATCACCTACTGCATTTACTTAATTTAAAATTTTTCCCAGAGTGTTTATTAACTAGGTAATCTGCCAGTCCTCTCAAGTCCTCCTCAGTCTTTCTGAGAACAGCACAGGGTAGTAGAAATAGCAAAATCCTCGCTGTTAATCTAAGGAGTCCGAACACTTGACCGACACGCCCTCCTCGAAATGTTCATTCTTCGGGGCCCTTAACAGTTTATGCACTAAGCATTATATATGCATATTTCCAACCATTTAATCAGGAATAAAATTTCAAATATGTTTCAAGTGTATAACTGTAAACTCTACATGATTCAGATCTTTTTCTCCTTAGACTTCTTTCTAATACAAGCCCAACTTTTTGCAATAACTAACCCATTTTACTAAATAGACTAAAGAGAATTATGGCACTCCTGCTTCAACAGCGTGTGGGCGAGTAATACAATAGCCCTGGATTGTTGTAAGGAGGGGGTCCCTTTGTTTGTCCTGGGTGCCTGGCTAGCTTACCAAAATAATCACACACAAATTGTATTCATTAAAACACCACTTGGCCCATTAGCTCTAGTTTCTTATTGGCTAATTCTTACATCTTAATTTAACCCATTTCTATTAATCTCTGTATCGCCACATGACTGTGGCTTACCGGCAAGATTCTAACCAGAGTCCCTCTCAGGCGGTGGATCCATGGCATCTCTGACTCTCCCTTCTTCCTTCCAGCATTCAGTTCTGTTTTCCCTGCCTACCTAAGTTCTGCCCTATCAGCTAGGCCAAGACAGTTTCTTTACTCATTAACCAATGAAAGCAACACTGGATACTCAGGAGAGGCTGAGCTGTGGTCCATCTGGCGGCACAGGTGTCCTTCAGCACTTAGGTTATCCCGAAGCTCTTAGAGAAAGCATCAGGAGGCCAGTGATGGTGCAGTGGGTAAAGGCGCCTGTCCCCAAGGCTGACAACATGCGTTTGATTCCCAGAAGCCATAGTAGAAGGAGACAGCTGACTGTTACAAGCTGCCCTCTGACCTCCACACACACATCTGGAGCATGCACATACACCTGCGCATACACACACACACACACACACGCACACGCAAATACAACATACACACATACACAAGTGTTAGATACAGTTTTATTCGAATAACCAAGAGAGTAATCCTTTGGGCCAACAAGATAGATTAGTGGGTAAAAGTGCTTATACTGCAGCCTAACAACCTGAATTTGACCCCAGGGTCCCACAAAAAAGACTGACTCTGAGAGTTATCTGACCTCATAAAGGAGCTATGGCATGTAGACATGTATACACACACACAAAGATTTCAAGTAGGAAATCTTTCAACATTGCAGTGTCCTATGCCTGTGTCAAAACTCACTTCTGAAGGACAGAGTCCTCCCATCCTTGTGTTTCATCCATACATTGACTTTGATATTCAGAGACGTGGTCATTGCTACCAGAAACTTATGGAGAGCACAGGGTAACCCTTTGTGAGGACAATGGCCTAGCTCATATGTAGTGATATGTTGTTTGTGATCTATAAAGCTTGCCTGAAAATCAGAGTGCGGAGCTAGACACTTAGTCAGCCCCAGGCCAGGCAGTGGTGGCTCACACCTTTAATCCGAGTACTAGGGAGGTGGAGACAGGAAGTGATATGGCTGGGTGGAGAAAGGATTGTAAGGCGGGAGGAGGCAGGAGCTCAGTTTCCAGTGACTCTGGGTTTTTATTATTAGTTCACACTCCGCTCTTACTTATCTGTCTGACTCAGGAACAAATCTGAGAGAACATTCTTTAAAGACGTGTATTTCTTTTTCTTTTTTATTTGTTTTTTTTTTGGAGTTTTTGTTTTGTTTTGTTTTGTTTTGTTTTTTGAGATGGGGTTTCTCTGTAGCTTTGGAACCTGTCCTGCAACTAATTCTTGTAGACCAGTCTGGCCTCGAACTCACAGAGATCTACCTACCTCTGCCTCCTGAGTGCTGGGATTAAAGGCATGAGCCACCCCCACCCGGCATGTTTTTCTTTTTTAATCACATTTTATTTTTATTTATCAAATACTGAGATTCTCAAACAAAATCTTATGATTTCCAGTATAAAACTGCCAGGTAAGGACTTTTAATTTCTATCACTTTAGAAATATAACATGAAAGGCCTTACTCTTAGAATAAAAGTAATTTTTAAATGAACTAAATTGAGTTTTGGTTTTTTTTGTTTGTTTGTTTTGTTTTGTTTGGGGATTGTTTCAAGACAGAGTTGTTTCTCTGTCCTGATACTAGCTATGTAGACCAGGCTGGCCTGAAACTCACAGAGATCCGCATGCCTTTGCCTCCTGAGTGCTGGGTTTAAAGGCATGTGCCAACAAGCTTAGCCTCATTTTTATTTTTAAAAAGAGAAAACAAGGGCCGGAGAGTGTTCAGCAGTTAGGAGCACTATGTGCTCTTACAGAGGACCTAGGCTCATTTCCCTCCCACTTGACTGCTCACGACCATCAGCACCTCCAGTCCCAGGGGATCCAACACCCTCTTCTGTATTTTGTCTGCTCCAGCACTGGCACTTAACAGTTTACTGAAATTTCATCTTACTGTGCTGTCCAGTGTCTTCCCTAACTTAGGTTGTGGGGGTTGTGGGGTCCTTCCTCTCCTCTCTCCTTGGAGGTACCTGTGCTGCTGTGGGCTTGTTGACTGCCTTCCACAGCAGTTCTCTGGGTTCAGAAAAGCCAAAACTCTCAGAATGGAGTCAAGACAGAAGTCCCTTGCCCAATGTTATGCATCCGAATAGTTGCCAAAATTATCTCTTTTCTTTGAAAAGTATTGGTGGGGGGTGGGGAAGGGATACAGGAACCAAGAGAAACACTGATACAGGAAAAAACATATACAGATTTAAAGATGAGGTTAAAACTGACAAAACCTAGAAGGCTGGGTCACTGTTTAATTTTACTTCTCCCATAGGGCGAAGCAGCCTGTCTTCTGAAAGATGAACTAAACATGTACACATGTGTTCTGGTGTATGACTTAATGCCTGGAAGAGTGTCCATTTCACTGTTCTTCGTTTCTGTCTCCCAGGGAAGGAAAATACAACCATGCAGCCTGCTTTGGTCTCCAGCCAGGCTGCCTTCTCCCTGATGGCAGCCGGATGATGTCTGTGGCCGCCCTGGTGGTCAACTTCTCACAGCCCGTAGCAGGCAGGCCCTCTCTCCTGAGACACGACGAGGTGCGGACTTTCTTCCATGAGTTCGGTCATGTCATGCATCAGGTTTGTGCACAGGTAAGCAGTTCTCATGGCAGGCCCACCAGTTGCTTGCAATTGTTGCTTCCATTCTGGCTGCTGACAGGTTCTCTCTTTGCCTGATTTTTTCACAAGCTGAACAGGTGGTAAGCCTGCAGGCACAGTTTTCTTTATCACATATTCTCGCACTGTATTTCACTTGAAGGTTAGTCCACTGATGAAAGATCTTGTAGAATATCTGCTTGTGGAGTAACAGTGGCTTCTAGGCACCCCGAACCTTTATTGCCTTTCTACTGCTATTGGGGAATGTCTCCCTCTTCAAGCCTCAAATTAAAATCACAAGTAATACAGCCGTGCAGAGCTGGGTGTGGTGACATGCTAATTGTAACCCAAAGAGGCAGACCAGGAGCTCAAGATCAGCCTTGGCACTTAGCAAGTTCAAGGCCACCGGAGAGCCTATCGCAAAAAAATAAATGACTGGTAGAGACTATTTCTAGGAGAAAGATATGTACAGTAGATTGAAGTGAAAAGTGATTGTTGCATTGTGTGGTGTAGTGTGTGTGTTTGTGTGTGTGTGTGTTCATGTGTGGAGGCCAGAGGTCAGCATGTAATGTTCTTAGGAGCTGTCCCTTGTTTTTAGAAGACAAGGTCTCTCACTGAGACCTGGGGCTCACTGGTTAGGTCAGGCAGGCTGGATCCACCTGCAGCAGGCACCACCATAGCTGTTCCTGAAGTAGATTCTGGGCTTTGAACTAAAGTCCTCATGCTT